GTTAGATAGATATAGAGTTGTAGTAAAGTAGATAGAGTTCCGCTATGATTGAGGTTTCATTTATGCATAGGGCCAAAGATTCTTTTTAATTAACATTTCCTTTTTGTTTTGTGTATTTTATACCATTTTAGATTTGGTTTGGCGAGCTATTTTTAGAACATGCCCCGCGGGCTACTCACGTTGCCCCTGCGGGCGACTAAGTGCCCGCGGGCACCGTGTTGGCTACCCCTGGTGTAGATATATCAATGAAAATCTTAGGTCCCAGGCTCCTCCAACGGTGCAACACAATAAAACAGATAAAATAGTGCAATAAGTGATCTGGAATATGATACATTAGATAAATAATGTGTGAGTTGCAAACAGGTGAATGTTATGGATGTTCTTTTTAACAGGTGTTTAACAGTCTTATGTCCGGTGGGATGAACCTGTCCCTGAGTCTGGTGGTTTCAGACCTTTGACTGTGATCGATGCAAAAGGCTACACTAGATGGGAGTGGTCCATATGTGCAACACAGATCAGGAATACTTTATTGGACCCAGAGGGGGGGGGGAGTGTGCGTTGTGACGGTGTCTCACCCGTGCAGTAAGGAGTTGCTCCGGCTCCTCCCCTGCTCACTCTCCGCCCGCATCGTCTCTATCTGGATCAGGAGCTGCTCCTGTAGGACGGATTCACAGATGGAGGGATCAATGGGTGGAGACGAAAAAGCCAGCATAACAAGTGTAGTTAAAATATTTCAAACAGAATATAAAAGCATTGGCGAAATGCAACTTAAATACATTTAATCAGATGTTGCGTTTAAGTTTAAATGTAAGGTCCTTGTACTTGAGTGCTTTCTTTGTATGCCACGTTATACTTGAACTCCACTACAATTTAAAGGAACTGCATGGATGAAATATTTATGATAGACTTTACAACATTTACCTTTAAGCTTTAGCTACTTTACAACAAAATGTATGCATTAAAATTATCTATGTGTATTTATTAAATCATTTGTTTATTCAACAGCAGGCTAGTAGCTTAGAAACTAGCCAATTGAGAGATCTTATGGCATCTAGACATTTTTTACTTTTACCACATTTAGCTTATAGTCCCTGCTTTTAGTTAAGATACATTTCCAACGTGGGACTTCTTGTTGTAGCACAGTATTTCCACAGTGTTGTTTGAGTACATTTACCTAAGTAAAGGATCTGAGAACACAGAGACAGCAGAAACTTTAAAGGAGTCCTCACCTTGTCGTGGTGAGACTCCTCGATCAGCTTCTTGGTGTGCTCCAGCTCTCTGATCAGGGCATTCTGAAAGCATAAAGTAGAGTTGAAGCACTGAAAAATAAACACTGACTTTCAAAACATATTCATTTTGTCAAAGACTGCAGTGTCCTCCTCTCAGATCACATGTATGTTCCGGTCACCTTGTCCTCCAGCGCAGACATCCTCTCTTTGAGGTGCAGCTGCAGCCTCTCGTTGGACTCTGACAGGAGCTTATCCACCGTCTCAGACAGACGCTTGTTGTGCTCCTCGTTCATCTTCTCTCGCTGCCGTGCCTGCACACAAAAAGACAGCTTTGTAAAAACGGTACACACGATCAGACTGTTTCAATGGCGTGTTACAGGAATGAGTCCTCAAACGAGTCAGCATTTTAGTCCTCGCTTATCTGGAAGTCATATGTGTTAGTGTGAAATAAGGAACCGAGCTGAAGAGACTTTAATTCGCTGACATAAAATACGTCTGTAAATAACCCAATGGGGAATCTAAAACGTTGGTTTCTAACAAGTGTCTGAATGAGACGACTAAACTTCATCACGCCCAACATTAGCCGCCTTTAGCTTAGCGGTGGTGACGTGAAGTCATGTGACCGTGCTGTAGTTCCTTTATAGCCCAACATTAGCCACCTTTAGCTTAGCGGTGGTGACGTGAAGTCATGTGACCGTGCTGTAGTTCCTTTATAGCCCAACATTAGCCACCTTTAGCTTAGCGGTGGTGACGTGAAGTCATGTGACCGTGCTGTAGTTCCTTTATAGCCCAACATTAGCTTTTCACTTCAAAAATCAGAAAGTGATGTTAATATGTGGAGATTATCCTGCTGGACAAAACGTGTAAATCGTAAACGTTTGTTTGACACAGATTATTTTTCTGCTTTGATCCAAAATCAGAAGGAGAAATCCAATTGGCTTTTTGTCGAGGGAGATGCTGCCTTCAGGGCCCAACACAGAAATACAACATCACCGCACTACTCTTTAAATTAAAACTGTGAGTGTATAGTGAAAGTATTTCCTCGTCTTCCTCACCCTGAGCAGCTCCTGGTTCTTCTCCTCCAGCTGGGCCTCGTGCTGCCTCAGTCTCTCCTCCACATTGCCATGGCGTTCCTCTGCCTAAAGATGGAAGAGACAATACAAAAACACATATTTCTTAATATAATCAATCCTCTAAGAGCCGATGAGTGATTAGGTTTACATGCACGTTAATATCCACTATTATATTTGATAATGGTCAGTATAAAGCCCATCTGGAATATGCAACTTAATTGAAGTTTTAACTACAATTTGGGACACATGGCAGTTCAATATTACTGCCAGTGATCAGAGAAGAGACATATTGTACTACTTTTAGATATTAAAACAAGACTTTAATATCAACAGGTCGTTGTATTGAACATCTCAACCGATTTTTGAAGAATGAAGAAGGCTGTTTTTGCATCTCTACGCCAGCAGCGTAAACATTTAAAAAAATCCTATTTTGACAGCTCTTTATAAAAAGGGGCATTGATGGTATATGTTTTTTATTAGCCATGTCAAGAGCTCAGTAGGAACATTGTCTATTTCAGATTAGGAGGTGAAACCAAGGAATATGTTGTGCATGTAAACATAGTCACTTTCTCTGGTGCTAGATTTAATCTTCCCCTAGGGGGGGTTTGTCATCCATCCTGGAGAAGGACCTCGCTGAGAAAAGTGTTTGAGGTTTTTGGTCCTTCGGAAGGAG